GACATGTATGTATGTACACTGTATGAAGCTAGCTGAAAATTAATTTTCTTTTTTAAACTGTCCAACTTCATCTTCCAGTTTTCTCTCAGCCAATCATCAGCAAGGCAAAAGCCCAGCTGCTCAAGACCCATTTTCTGCCTCTGATGGATAAACTCAAGAAAGTGAGTTTCATCACTTCATATGTTGTAGCTTTTTATATGAACTCATTAGAACACAGATTCTCAAATAATGTATGGCTCTAATGATGAATGTACCTAATAGCGTATGTCTCTAAACAACAGGTCTGCCAAGCCAGGTCTTAATTCACTACACTGATATTTTTAATTCTTCTGCCAAAATAACAACAAATAGCATGATACAATAACACTATCAAGAATTATTACATTCATTAACTTTTATAATAGCATTGTAACGATATTTGCATTTTTATGACATCGCGATAAAAAATGTCTCAATACCGTGGTGTGGCATATTGTTGTTTAGCTAGTTTACCTGTTTTCAGGTTGCAGAATTTGAAACCCACATGAAACACCCACTGCATCGCTGACTTTTAGCTGTTGTGTGGCAGGATTTCAGTTTTCCTGTTTCAAGAAATTACATTGGCAGAAAGCAAACTGACAAACACTATAATAAACTAGAATATCCTAACAGTAGTTACAGAAATTAAAACTAATATTACTGCTATGACCAAATGTATTTATTGTGCACATAACACAGACGGTAATCCTGTATTGTGTTCTGCAGAAAGCAGCAGTTGTGCTGATGGATGAGGAACACAGCAAAGCAGAGGGGAGGGGTGAGATGTCAGAGACAGAGCTTCTCATCATGGACCAGTTCACCATATTGGTCAGAGACCTGTATGCCTTCTACCCTCTGCTCATCCGATTTGTCGACTACAACAGGTGCAGTGCTCTGATTGAAGGGTTCCTGCACTTCACAGCTTATAAATGTTTTTTTCTTCTGAAACAAACAATAGGACTTAAAGTATAGCATATCATTTCAGTGTGATAAATTACAATACCTGTATGTGATACAAGCCTACATGCATGTCCTACAGAAAACCTCCTAATGCAGAAGTAATGTGATTCTCCAACTACTTTCATATATTGACAGGGCCAGATGGCTCAGAGAGTCCAACCCGGAGGCTGAGGAGCTGTTCCGCATGGTGGCCGAAGTTTTTATCTTCTGGGCCAAGTCTCATGTAAGAAAATCACTCCGAAGGACACAAAGAAACACAAAAAGGTGCTGCTGAATGAAAATGTCATTGTATTAGACAAGACCTAATGGCAGGTGTAACAAAGCACATAGTAAAAAGACAAACTCCTGCTTCCATTCATTGTCTTGGAACTTCATTGATTAATAATTTTGATAACTGGTACTTTTGATAATTATTCCCTGTAAAGAGCTGCTAGTACTACAGATCCCACTCCATGGAGCTTTCAGCAGCTTCTTCATAATTTAGTCCTGCCATATGTCATTAGGGCTAGTTTTTATGGTCAGTTTGGGAAAGTGACAGAAACAGTTAGACACGGATAACCTATACTGGTATGTATGTATGTATAAATGAAAGGGAAAAAAGCTGGAAGGTGTGCGGAGACAGGGTTTTGGAAGCTATCTGACCATCCAGCAAGTGCACTGGTCTGATTATAAAGTTGGCTTTAACACTGCATCACCCTGGCTGATGTCATGTTTTCATCTTTTTGCAGAACTTCAAGAGAGAAGAGCAGAACTTCGTGGTCCAGAATGAAATTAACAACATGTCCTTCCTCATCACTGACACTAAGTGTAAGATGTCAAAGGTATGGCAAAGGTACACAACACATTTGTATGATGTAAAAGAAAACAGTCTCCTAACACGTGATTTTGCCACAGGGAATAGTGTCAGACCAGGAGAGGAAGAAGATCAAGAGGAAGGGAGATAGATACACAATGCAGACAAGTCTGATTGTTGCTACTCTGAAGCGTCTGCTGCCTGTTGGACTCAATATCTGTGCCCCTGGAGAACAAGAGCTTATCACACTGGCTAAGAACCGCTTCACCCAGGTAGAAAAAATAACGTTTGTCTAGTACATTTTGAGGATTGCTGTCGGGTTGCCATGAGCTATTCCCTTTGTAACACATTTGGCTATTTAAGGATTCAAAATATTGATTTTGATAGAATACATTAAATTCAAGTTATAGGTCTGGAATATGATCAATTATTTTGTGATACCTGTTTTAAGGTACTTTGACCATATGATATTTAATTTGGCCGAGAGACGTGTAACAAAGGTTCCTGGCCAGAGGAACCAAGGATGTTGTAGTTCACCCCTACACCACATGTGCACCCTATCTAAAAAGTTGACCTTGATCTCTTAAAGGACCATACATATACTCTTTCAACAGAAAGATACCGAGGATGAAGTTCGAGAGATCATTAGGAACAATCTCCATTTACAAGGGAAGGTAAGAATATAGTCAAGTATCTTGATTTTATTCCTGACAATACTGTAAGTACTGTTGGAAAAAAAACTTGACATGACATTTTGTATTTATGTTGAAGACATAAAATGTAAAGGTTTTATTGTGAATAATAAAGTCTGTTTTGTAGTGGACAGTCTTTATAGTGATAATCCATATATATATA